AAAGTCTGTGGTGTCTCTTACATAGCTGGGAGTGCTGGTGACTATGTGGACTTCAACTGGTCCCTTATTCCAGTTGTGATAGTACCAATGCTTGAGACAACGGAAGGGTCCTGATTGTCTTGTTTTGTGTATTTTGGAAAGTATGCAGAAGATGCCTAGTCACAGCTCCTCCAGTGTTTCCAGTATTATATATCCTTAGGAATTTTTTTCATCAGACAGCCTGAGATCTATCACTCATCATAAACCTCAAACACTAAAACTTTCTTAAATTTTAAAAATTGTACTGCTAAATGTCACATGCCTAAAATTCTACACAGAATTATTACTTTGCCCAGTTAGACTAATCTTCCTCCAACCAACCAGGCTGGCAAGCAAAGAGATCCTGAGAGTGGACTTCAGGATAATTGCTTCTAGTTCTAAGACAATATTTTATTTACTACACCAACTCAGCTCATTTTTTACTTTTTTTTTTCAGTTAAATACACCCCTAAACAAAGCTTTGCCCTACAGCCAATTCACCATTCTACAAATGGATCCATATGAGCCCCAGGTGTACTGCTGGAAAATATGCTTGAAGCTACTGGTTTACATTGTAGTATACAGTACTAGCTTTCCATTTTTTCAAAAATTAGAGAACCTGGAAGAAGCCAAGGAAGTATTGGTGGGCACACTGACACGTATAGACATCATAGGGATCCAGGTACCGTTGTTACGTATCTACTGGACAGAAATTGCTTTTTGGAATTCTATTACCACCATAATGCTCACAAACAGAAGAAGCTCCAATGCGGTTTCTGCCTGCATACATAAGCATTTCTTTTTCACGTCAACATATTGCTCAGCAAACATTTTTGCAAGCCACTATCCCAAGAGTTTAAATATACAGAAGAATTTACAAGTATAATCCCAACTCACAAACAGAAAACCATACATAGATGTAAAACTACCTGGCTCACCTTTCATTTCTCAAATTTCTAGCCCTAAGCCCTGTTACATCCCTCAGTCTAATGTTTTCCTCATCCAGCAGGGCTCATCTGATTAGAGCAGTGTTCCTCAACCGTGGCAGCTTGAAGATGTGTGGACAGCAAGCTGGCTGGGGAATTATGGGAGTTGCACTCCACACATCTTCAAGCTGCCAAGGCTGAGAAACACTGGATTAGAGACAACACCAGGACAAAAAGAAAACATGTTTCTATCCCTTTAATTTCTGGCAAATTATTGCCTATCTCCAGCCAAAATAAAATTCAGACATTTTCTGGGTAGATTAACAATTTCTAATGATTAGAGATTAGTCATAATTTTATTTGTTAATTTGATTTATATCCTGCTCTCCATTCAGGATTCAAGTCTGTCTGTCTGTGTATCTATCTATCTATACATCCATGCAAGATCATAAAAACAAGGATTCCAGAAAAACTACTGGAACCTTACTTTATTAATACAGGCTACATCAGCAGAATAGCTTATACCAATAAAATAGGGTTCCAGTAGTTCTTCTGGAGTCTCTTTCCTAACCAGACCAACCTCAAAGAACTGACAATACAGTGCTCCCTCCTCTCACTCTTCCCTACAACAACCTTGTAAGATAGACTGGGCTCAGAAAGTGACAGCCCTAAGGTCACCCAGTGAGTTTCCATGGCTGAGCGTGAACTTGAACCTGGATCTCTTATCTGTCTTATTTTTATCCATCCTTTTCAAAATGGTGCTGTCCAATCTGGATAACAATTGTCAGTCAGCAAGATCAGCAGCCTTGGTGGTTAGGAATGATATCAACTGCAGTCTAGCACACCTATTATGCTGGAGAGATCTCAATGGCCCTTTTTTAACTCAGGTATGTGTGGGCATGTGCATATAAATTAAACATACAAGCCACATTATATACAGCAATCTTCTGTGTCAGAGTTCCCATACTTCCTTCCTCTCATAAAATACATACCTTGTATATATCAGAGAAGGGTATGAAAAGTTAAATTGTTCATTTCAGCAGCTTTAATCCCTACAAGGTGTAAATTTATATTTTTAGCATAAACATAGGTCTAGGTGAAAGACCTATCAGGGTTTTATTATATCTGAATATACAGTAGTTTCTTGCTGTATTTCTTCCTTATTCTATGGCATACCATCTTCAAAAAGAGTTATAACACTGTAATACAAACATGATTAAAATATACTACATATAACAATAAAAGCACAGACAGCAAAAGACATTTAGAATAATCTCCAATGGCTCTCTGGTAAAATTGTTACATGCCAAATAAAATGCAGCATTCTAGATGTCTCAGTTTCATTAAATAGCTGTCCCAAAGCTATTTAAAAATAAATGTCACAACTTAATGTCATTCTAACACTGCTGAATATCTGAAAAAAATAATTGTATTTACTCATAATGACCATCTTTAGACATCATAAGGAGATAATTCTCCTGGGGCACACTATACATTCTCCTTCTCCCTCCTGGATCCTACTGCCAGCAAAAGCTAGACAAATCATACAACCCTGCCTTGTTTCTCCCAAACAGTTTACTCATGGAAGTGAAATGGGGGGCAGGGGAGACATGGCTTCAGATATTATCGTATTAGGAGGTAAATGAGCCAGACCTCCTGTTTAATTGCTTCTTCTGGGAAGAGGAGCCAAGCAGGAACAGTTAAACAGGAAGCGCCAGCAAACCACTTATTAATGGTAAACCAGAATTCTGAATTGCCATGATGGACATATTGATCCATGCAGCTTAGCTTATTAAGCTGTGATCCATGCAGTCTTTGTTCTTCCCATTTGGTCAGTTATCAATTAGACAAGGATAGCTCTGGTGTCACATCTGAACCTGGGATTACATACTGTGTCCAAACAAGCCACGATCATAAACCAGCTTGTGGATGGACTGCAAATATTTCCTTAAGTGCCATACGGCACAGTCCCAGAGTCAGATATCACACAAACCGAAGTATCCATGTGTGATTTGTTTGCCACCTGATATGAGCAGCAAAGCAGACTTTTGTCTCAGAGAGAGAGAGAGAGAGAGAGATGAACTATAGGATGGCTTTGAAAATCTTTATTCCCATTATAGCAGAATAACTGATTACCTCCTCTCCTGGAGGAAGAACAGTATACTGTTATGATGCTTATAATGATTATTCCAGTTCTGACAGAAGATAATACCTGCCCATCTGTCTCAATTTTTCAAATTCACATTTTGTATCTGCCTTTAAATAAGACTAAGAACTCTCACTCTTACAAAGAGCAAAATATTGCGTTGCTCTACCTGCCTTTTGCTAACTACTGGTCCAGGAGAATGAGTAAGGGATCAACCCACTAACTTTGCTCTGTTCTAGAGACCTTTGGTGGCCTTACAAACGTTTTTCTATGTGTTCTTTCAATATCTGATGAATGAAAAAATATGAATTACATGTATTGTGCTCACATAGAAAGTTCAACATTAAGCACAGAACAGCGCAAGTGAAGAATACTGTAATGGTAAGCGAGAAAAACCTTGAAAGACCCAGCAAAGAGATGCTGCCTAGGGAACAGCCCACAGCTGCAGTAATGGGCAGAGAAAGAGGCTCAGAAGGGACCCTCCCTAACTTCCCAGGCTGTAAAAGAGACAGCAGGAGATTTGTACTTTCA